ACTGTAATGTGGTAAAGAAGTGCGAGGAAAATAATTGATGAGGAACAATGAGGAAGAGAATAAATGTGAGGAAAGATGATGAGTGATAGGAGAGGGACAAGGAAGACTAGATGTGAGGCAAAATGAGTGGAATTTCGATGATGAGGAAGACAAAAGACACCGTCTATAAAGAAACGGGACAGGAGCAAGGAGAGAGAAACAACGAAAGACGCGATAAAAGGGAAAGGAAAAGAAAATCCCTTCAAGAAACGAGGATGACGAAGAAGGTGCAACAGAAGGTCAAAGTAAGAAAAAAAAAAATACCCCCCCCCCCCCAAAAAAAAAAAAAAAATGGAAGGGCATCCCGAAAGGTTATGTGATAAAAAAGAGTGACGGAACAAAGGGGAAGAAAAAAAGGGGGGGGGTAAGGAGAAGGAGGAGAGGTAAGGAGAGAAGGGCCATGGGAAGGGGGCGGGGGGGGGGGAATCCATTTCTGAAGATCTTGGAAAGCCCATCGCAGCGCTCGAGAGATCTTCGTCTGGGAGCATTTAACCCAGGTGGAGTAGGGGGGGGGGTGAAGGAGTGCCAGGGGAGGGCAGGTGAGGGGATTTGATAGGGGGGGGGGCAAGCGTTTTAAGTTTTGGGTGATTCTTGTATTGTGTTGATTTCTGCTGGTGTTATTTTTATGGGTTGTGTATCTTAAAAAATGAGGAGAGAGAGAGAGAGAGAGAGAGAAGGGGAAAAGAAAAAAAAGAGAGAGAGAGAGAGATTAGGGGGAAGAAGGAGAAGAGAAAGAAAGGGCGAGAGACGTTGGTGGGCGAAGTCGAAGGTGGTGACCTAAGAACGTCTTGGGAATTGAATCTTTCAAGGCGATTTCTGGGAAGATTTGCGCGCCGATTTTTTGTTTGTTTGCAGAGCTGTTTGCGTTTCGATCTTAATTGCAGGAAAGATGGCGTCGGGCGAGTTTCCGGTCCTCTTTTTTCCCCCTCTCTCTGTAAACGTATTTATCGTTCCTCGTACGGGAAGGGGCGGATAAGGTGAAAAAAGGGAGCTGGGAGAGAGAGGGTGAAACGTACTTTTCCTCTCTCTCTCCTCTCTCCTTGTTCTCTTTTTCTCTAGTTCTTGTTGTCATCTTTCTCCCGTCTCTCCCCCCTTTTCGTCTCTCTTCTCTCTTCTCCTTCTCTCCCTCCCTTCCTCCCTCCCTCCCTCCCTCCCTCCCTCCCTCCCTCCCTCCCCATTTCCCTCCTCCCCTACTCCTCTTCTTCTCCCCCCTCTCCCCTCTCCCCTCCCCCCTCCCTCAAGCGCGTAACACGTGGTTTTAAAGAGCGTGTTTAAGCAGCGCGAGGGTCAAGTGCGAAGGGAACCCCCCGAGAAACCCTCTCCAAGGAGTCCGGGTGTCGTGGATGCTGCTGGCTCGAGCATCCTTCGGGGCGCCGCATCTCCTGCCGTTCCTGGAATGCCGGGCAAAGGGGGGCGCGGCTGGTCGTTTAGGAGGGTTTTTTTTCATTATTCTTTTATTTCTTTTTGATTTTCTTGAAGAATTCTTGGGGTTTGTTTTGTCGTCATTCTCTCTCTCTCGTCTCTCTATCTCTCCCTCTCTCTCTCTCTCTCTCTCTCTCCTCTCTCCTCCCCTCTCTCTCTTCTCTCTCTCTCTCTCCTCTCTCTCTCTCTCTCTCTCCTCTCTCTCTCTCTTCTCTCCTCTCTCTCTCTCTCTCTCTCTCTCTCTCTCTCTCTTCTCCCCTCTACCCTTTCTCCCTCTCCCTTTCTCCCTCTCCTTTTCTCTCTCTCCTCTCTCTCTCCCTCTCCCTCCTCCTCTCCCTCTCCCTCTCTCCTCTCCTCCTCTCTCATCTCTCCTCTCTCTCTCTTCTCTCTCTCTCTCTCTCTCTCTCTCTCTCTCTGTCTCTCTTTCCCCTCTCTCTCTTTCATCTCTCTCTCTCTCTCTCTCTCTCTCTCTCTCTCTCCTCTCTCTTTCTCTCTCTCTTCTCTCTCTCTCTCTCTCTCTCTCTCCTCTCCTCTCTCTCTCTCTCTCTTTCCTCTCTCTCTCTCTCTCTCTCTCTCTCTCTCTCTCTCTCTCTCTCTCTCTCTTCTCTCTCTCTCTCTCTCTCTTTTCTCTCTCTCTCTCTCTCCCCTCTCTCTCTCTCTCTCTCTCTCTTCTCTCTCTCTCTCTCTCTCTCTCTCTCTCTCTCTCTCTCTCTCTCTCTCTCTCTCTCTCTCTCTCTCTCTCTCTCTTCCTCTCTCTCTCTCTCTCTCTCTCTCTCTCTCTCTCTCTCTCTCTTTCTTTCTCTCTCTCTCTCTCTCTCTCTCCTCTCTCTCTCTCTCTCTCTCTCTCTCTCTCTCTCTCTCTCTCTCTCTCTCTCTCTCTCTCTCTATCTCTCTCATTCTCTCTCTCTCTCTCTCTCTCTCTCTCTCTCTTCTCTCTCTCTCTCTCTCTCTCTCTCTCTCTCTCTCTCTCTCTCTCTCTCTCTCTCTCTCTCTCTCTCTCTCTCTCTCTCTCTCTCTCTCTCTCTCTCTCTCGCGTAATTTTCACCCTCATTTTCATTCCTTCGCTCTAAATACAAACATTTTTCTTTGCATCCTTCTTTTCCTTTCGCAGTAAATTTTAATTCGACGCAGAGAAGAACACGCGATCTTGCGGCCGTTGGACTGTATTTTTAAGTTTACGCAACGCTCTTGTCATCCCTTTTTCTGCCTCGCATCCCCACCCTCCATCAGGCAAAACAATAATCGATAAAATGTAAATAGATAAAGAGGGGTGGGTAGAGTGGAATAAGAGAGAGGCGAAGGATAAAGAGAAAGAGGGTGGGGAGAGAGTGTGTGTGTGTGTGTGGTGTTGGAGAAAGAGGGATAAGAAGAGAGAGAGGGGGAAGGAAGAGGGAATTGGGTGAGGGAGGGAAGGAGAGAGAGAGAGAGAGAGAGAGAGAGAGAGCATGCCTTCAGGAAAATTCTACTCCATGGTGTAGGATGTATCAATCGTGCAGCTCAATCTCTCCGCACGGCTGGCACTGGCGCTGGTGTGCGGCACCCTTGTATAGTGCCTCCCTCCTTGTAACAATCCCCCCCCCCCCTACGCGTGGCTGCCACTGCTATCTGGTGGTGTGTGTGTGCGTGTGCGTGTGCGTTTGTGTGTTTGAGAGAAAAGAGAGAGATGGGGGGGTATGTTTGGATATGTGTGTTTGTGCGTGTACATGCGCGCGCGTGCGCCAGGCGTTTGCGTTATCCGTGGCACTCTCGTCTGGGGGATGTATCTGTCTTGGCTTCTCCGTCCTCCTCGCGCCGATCTCCCTGAAGTGGTAATTGTCGATTATTAATGACTGCCAATTATTCAGCGAGGAAGTCTGCAGGATCCCACATACCTGGACAGGGACGAGCGAGGGACGAGGGGGAGGGAGGTTGATGGGAACGGGCGAGATGCGGTTGGATGCAGGGGAGGGAAGAGGAGGGAGAAAGCCGCAGACACAGATGCACGGAGAGAGAGGGAGAGAAAGAGAGAGAGACAGACAGACAGACAGACAGACAGACAGACAGAGACAGACCGACAGACAGATACAGGTACAGAGACAGAGCGAAAGATGCATGCTAAGAATAAAAAGGCAACATAGATACACGGAAGACGGATTTGACACCGGAAGTTCGTCAGTCTAACCTAGGCTCTATACGACGGAGAAGCCCCCAATAATCTCCCCGCTCAGGACGAACTCATCCCCCTCGAAGACTTTAATTTTGTTACGACGTATTAGTGGCCATTTGCGAGTCTTTATGTTTTCCTTTGTTATCCTGAACGGGTTTGTTTCGACGTAATGTAAGGGTGTAGACGAAATGCCAGGCGCTGCTGGTGTCGAGGGTAAAGCGGAATGGCGGGTGAAGGGCAGGGAAAGGGAAAAGAGAGAGGTAGACCTATAGGCAAAGCGAGAGACGAAGGAAAAGAGAGAGAAAGAGAGGAAGGGAGAGGGAGACAAACAGAAAGACAGACAGAAACTAACGAGGGGGAGGGGGAGAGGATTGCAGACAAGAGGAAGAGAAAGATGGAAGGGAGGGGCACGAAGAGCGGAGGAAGGATTAGGTAGGAAGGCTGACTGGCAGGAAAAGAAAGGGAGGAGAGACAGGTAGGTAGAAAGAAGGGTACGAGAGAGAGAGCGAGAGCGAGAGAGAGAAGGGGGCGGTGGGCGGGAGTGCTCGAGTGTCTGCTAGAGCTTACCGTACCGGGCGGCAGAAGGTGTCTGCATGTGTCGTGGAAGTGTTGTGTTGTAGACCTGCTTTATACATGCAATTTCTATCCCTCCTTTGTATCTTTATAGTTTGCTTTTTATTATTCCTTTTTTATTTTCTTCTACAGTCGATTTATCATTCTACGGATGATGGCGAGTATTGCGCTTATGTTTAGTGACTGTGGCTGTAGTGCTGATAATGACATTTCACTGTTTAGAAAACTGTAGTTAGTTCGAGTGAAGTCGGAGCAGGAACGCCATGCCTCGAATGCTAAAGTCTAGTGTATGTCCTCACTTCCTCCACCCCGCTCTGCACGAAAATGCCCAGTGTATACACAGACCTACGCACGTCCATATCTACACATTGAGTTACATAATTGCTTTAACTTAGACACGTGTACATTTACATCTATTTATACACACACATATTCAAACACAAAGAGATGTACATATACACCACAATTACACACGCGCGCACACACACACACACACGCACACTCACGCACACTCACGCGCACGCGCGCGCGCACACACACACACACACACACACACACACACACACACACACACACACACACACACACACACACACACACACACACACACACACACACAAAGAAATAAAGAAACACATGCTCATGCCACACAATGTATACACCACGAGGACAAGTGTGTGAGAGGGTCGGACAGTAAGTGAGAGAGAGAGAGAGAAAGAGAGAGAAGGGGGGGCCTGGCCAAGATGGTCGTAACCGAGGTGTGAGAAGGCTGCCAAGGCGACGTGTGTGTGTGTGTGTGTGCGTGTGTGCGCGCACGCGATCAACAGGTGAACGAAGACGAAACCGCGCGGTAATTAACATCGCCAAGAAGGGCCTCGATGCTCTCTCGCACGCGGCGTTTGGAGGGACCTATTTCAGGGGAAGGGCTTTTGAGGGGCAGGTCCTTTTTAGGCGCATCCGACGGGGGTATCAGAGTTCCTTTTGGGGAGTGGGCTTTGGGGTCTCCCCTTTTAGAGGGCGGGGACGTGGCCCTCCACTCTTCTGGGGTGCTTCGGGGACCGGTTTTCGGTCTTTGGCTCGGGAGGGGCTTGAGTTGGGCGAGACAGGGATGCCTATGGCTCTGCTGGTTCTGGGTCTTGTTTTTCCCCTTGTGTGATTGCAGGGATAACTGCAACAAAATATGTATTGGCGTAATGTAGGGGAATTGCATTGCGTATTGCGTGCGAGGGTGTTGCAGCGGTGTGGACGTCGGGCGGTGCGTGTGCAGGTGAATCCGGAGCCGCCGTTGGGTGTGTGGCGTGCGGGCAATCGGGCAACTCGTGAACATAGGCCGTAGACACAGGCGGTCGGGAACTTCAAACTGGGCGACTTCTGGCTAGACGCGTGGGTGTGGGGGATAGGGTGTGTTTCGAGTGGGCGTCGCGGGTGGCGAGAAAGGGTTTCGGGCGTGAGCGGGCGGGCAGACGGGCGGCGCGGCAAGGTGTGGGTGCGTGTAGGCGGTCCCGAGTGGCGACGAGGTGTGGGTGCGGGCGGCGAGGATGGCGAGGTGAAGGGCAAGGCAGCCAGGAGGACGACGGCGACGGTGTGTGTTCCCCGCGGCATTATCGATCCCACTGCGCATGAATGGCGGGGCGACCGCCCTTTGTATCCACTCACTCACTCACTCACTCCGCCGCCACACACTGCCTCCCTCCTCCCTCCTCCCCCTCCTTCTTCCTCTCCTCTCCTTCCTCGCCTCTCCTCTCCTTCCCTTGTGATCCTGTCTCGGAGGCTCGCCACGCCGAAGGGCCGTGCTCGGAGTGTCGTCAGAGCCCTTCCTGGTGCAAGGTCGGTGTGGAGTCATGAGGTAGGTCTGGCTGCGAGGTCAGTCCCCTCGCCTCTCTCTCTCCCTCTCTCTCTCCTCCCTCTCTTCTCTCTCCCCCTTCGCTCCCTCCCCACAAGATGAGCGAGAGCCGCCCTGGTGCCACCGCCGTACGGAAGCGAGTGGCACACGGGCGATGCGCTGTGGAAAGGGTGAAAATGAAATTGATTTAGTGCTCAGGTCGGGGTGGCACCCGCTCCCGCGCCCTCTGCGACTGCGTCAGAATTTGCACTCGAATCCGACGGGGCGCCGTGGCCGCGGCTTAGGATTCCCGGGCTGGTGAGCGGCAAGAGCAGTGCCGACCGTGCCAGCGCCTCCTCGCTGCCGCTGCTTGTCCTCCGATCGCCGCCATGAAAGGTAGACCAGCCGCTGTCAGGGTTCAGTGCCAGGAAGAATGCCAGGGAAGGTGAGGTGCAGGGGAGGGGGAGGGGTGGGCCGGCGCCTCGTGTGCCAGGTGTCCCTGCAGCAGCTGACCACAGCGCTCGCCGATGACCGCCTTCTGCTCCTCCCACGGCCATGGTGTCTGGGAGCCCAGCTGGCTTTCTTCGTGCTCCTTGAGCTGCTAACCGACCACTTCGCCCTCGGCACCTGGGGGAGGAGGCAGGAGCCGCCGTTGTGTGTGTAGGATATTGTAGCGAGGTTATTGGGTCCGGGGCCTGCTGGGGGAGGGGACGATGCAGGCACTGACGGAGCCACGCCACCGCCGCCGCCGCCGCCTCCCACTGCCTCGAACTTGGGTGGTGTAGGAGAAGCCGAAGAAGGCCCTTCCCTCGAAGACCTTGGCCCGCAGCAAGGCTTCCACGCCGTCGTCGCCGCCTTGAGACGATTTAGCCAATTATGAAAGTGCGGGGATTCGGACGTGTGTCTTACTACGCGCTTTGGGGCCCCCACCGCCTCCCCCGCGCTCTCGCCCCCCGTGCGTACTCTACACACAGCCGCGGCCGCCGCCACCACAGCACACAGCTTGTTGTGCTCCTCACGCCTCTGTCGTTGCCCTCTTCCACCGCCACAGCCGTGCACAGCATTCCCGCGAGTGTTCCCTGTGCCCCCTGCTCGCAATCGGCACCAATGAATGTCAAGTGATACAGTTAGTGCGAGTGTGTACACGAGTGTGGCACTGTTACGCGCGACCGCACAGCGGGTCCGGGGATGGCACCGGACGTGACACAGGCTAGGCTATTGACACAGTGTCAGGAAGCCAAGGACCGGGTGTCAGGGGCAGCAACACCGTGGTGTGTGGAATGGGAGTGCCAAAGTGAGGGTAACGCAAGGAACATTGTGAGTGTCTGTGGCACTAGTGAGTCAGAGTGCGGCGCCTCCGAGCCTGGCCTGAGTGCCCCGTCAGCGAAACCTTGCAACAAGCCAGGCGTAGGCTAATAAACTCTCAACCGTGCCATGTAGATCCCACCCTTATCGCCATGAACCATACAGGCCATACTTGCGTCCACTGGACAGCGAA